CTAGAGTCATGAGTTGGTGGGATTACGGATATCAGATCGCCGGTATGGCTAACAGGTACAGTGCGTTTGTAAAATCTGATATACAGGGTGATTCAAAATAACCTGATGTCCTTGCAATGCCATATTCTTGAGCGAATTCTGAGACGATTTTTCCTTTTACAAAATTTTGTCCGAAGCTGAGTTTTCGAGTTATAATTGAAAATAGTTTGGCACTTACGAGTCCGATACAACGGACAGGCAGAGACGATGCAATGCGTCATGAGACGACAGTAAACACTTGACAGTCCCATTATACATTGCGCGTCCCTGCCTGTCCGTTGTACCGAACTCGTAAGTTGCTATCTATTTTCAATTATAACTCGAAAACTAAGCTTCGGACAAAATTTTGTAAAAGGAAAAATCGTCTCAGAATTCGCTCAAGAATATGGCATTGCAAGGACATCAGGTTATTTTGAATCGCCCTGTATACTCAAATTGACATTGGCGTATGAAATTATTAATCAATTTTTTTTTGCAGAACTACACTCGTGGACAATAATACGTGGAATAATTCGCACATAGCTCTGGTCGGTAAAGCGATGAGCTCGAATGAAAGTGCCGCTTATGAAATTATGACATCTTTGGATGTAGACTATGTATTAATCATTTTTGGCGGGATGATTGGATACTCCGGCGACGACATTAACAAATTCTTGTGGATGGTACGCATCGCCGAGGGTGAGCATCCCCAGGACATTCGCGAGAGTGATTACTTCACCGAGAGAGGAGAGTTTCGCGTAGACTCGGAGGGTTCTCCCACGTTACTGAACTCGTTAATGTACAAGCTCAGTTACTATCGGTTTGGGGACGTTAAGATAGACTATCGATCACCTTACGGTTACGATCGTACTCGTAATGCGGAAATAGGCAATAAAAACTTTCAGCTGACATATCTGGAAGAAGCTTATACTACTGAACATTGGCTTGTCAGGGTTTACAGGTGAGTAAACAGCTGTGCATGCGTTAATTCAATTTTTTCTTTCACATCTTTCCATATTAATTACGAAATGTGTTTACAGGGTGAAGAAGCCAGCAGAATTTAATAGACCAAGAATCCCGATCTCCGAACGGGTTATCACCCGTCGCGCAAATTCGTATATTAGTAAAAAGGTTGGTACTTAAGCCTTGTGGTAAGAAAAAAAAGGAATGAGATATATATATATGTGTGTGTGTACATATGTTTTTAATCTCTTGATGGTTTTTCGTATCGTTTTGCCGTTTTCACCATTACACATCAGTTGATCTGGAAACGTAGTTGAAGTTATGGGGGGTCGGGCATTGATGTTTCAGACTGCACGGCGTAAGCGAGGTTTCATAAAAGGCCGGCCAGTTGTTATTAAAGGACAGAAACCTCAACGACGAACAACGTAACGAAGATTCGCTGACTATTTCGTAACAGTTTGCAAATACAACTTTTGTAATAAAAGATTACCGTCCCTTGGGTCTACCACGAACTATACCTCGAACTAAGAATTTAATATTGTCAAAACAGTTCAACCGGTTTGAAGAGTAGAAGTGTTTAAAGAAAAAAAATCGTTTACAACATTCGGGACATTGGGGAAAAAAATCGCGTCGGTTTTACATTTTTTTTTTTTTTTGTAAAACTAGTTTCCACTTTTCACAAAGATAAATCATCAGTCATTTGTTACCTGCATAATTTGTTAATAGAAACATTTTCTAGAATTATAGCGTGCAGATACATATTTTCAATATCTGAGTCAACATATTTATATAAATGTATTCATTAGAACAAATCTTAATTGTATTGCATAATTCTTTTTTTTTTTTTCACTTTGCTATAAGAGTTAATTTTTAATTTAAATCTTTTATGAGGCAATATTGCATTTAATAGTTAACGATGTGAAAGACTTTCACCAAATTCATTTATCTCTTTGTTATCAATTAGATGATTGTATTGAAGTATTCATTTATAAATTGGTAAGACATCCTATAGTTAGTGTACACGCGTTTATGTTATATAGTACGTTTAATGCACATGGTGGTGTGTGTCGGGCGGAATATGTCAAATAAGCAGACTGCCAATTTTCAGGAGCATCAGAAAACAGATGGAGTGTGTCATGTGTACACAATTTGTTGTATAGCACCTTGTTGAAAGATAAACATTTGTGATAACACAGTGTTGTTATTTACAAATATGCATTTGAGAAATAACTCCAATTTTTGTTTTACATAAGAAAATAAAAAAAGATTCTTTGTGTAAGATAAATGCCGTATATTTCACGTATTTTTATGATATACATTAGAGATATATATATATATATATATTCTAGTAACATGCAAAAGAATATTGCAATTCAGCATTTTCTTTTTTATATAGCTTCCATAAATTTTGATAAATATAAGTAATAAATTGCACAATAAAATCAAGTGTATTACAATAGAGACATATCGTGTATTGATGAGCTGCAGTTGCAATATATCGATTAAAATCCGGAATGCTATCGACTTACGCATCAACAGGTGGGTACCAAAAAAAGTACTTTTTTAATAGGGTTATAGACTTTTTGACATCAAAATGATGCGACAAATAATAGTAATCGCGTTATATTTCAAAATATTTTACTTTTGTCATTGAATTAATCTCGACTGATGGATTTTTATTGATTTTATATATTTTTTGCAACAAAAAGTTATTTATTCGCTTTATATAACATGTAGAGCGATTAATCAATTATAAATTCTATAATCAATTTATGTAACAACCTTTGACGATTTTGAAACTGATAACGGAATTTCATTATTACTCCAATTAATTAATCTGCCAACACTCTGCTACGGATATTTATCACAAGTGTGACCGCAATGTGATAACTGTTTTTTCAGGAAAAGATTTTAAGACTTCGTTGTGATAAATCTCGTTTCTTTTAATGGTCTTTTAAGTCACATATAAAAACTTAAAACTACGTATACTTTTGCAACTTAATTTTTTTTAATTATAATGTGCGTGAAAGAGAAAGTATGATCTCGAATGACTATGTATTTAAATGTGAATCATCATTGGTGTTCGAAGAATTTAAGCCATTGTTGAATTGTCTTCCTCGTAAATTATCGGGAATAAAAGAGGAGTTTTTTTTTGCGCAGTTTTTTCACGCTGTAATAATCACGATAGTTTGAACCTTCTAATTAATTGAGCTATCTACGGAATGAGTATGTAAAGAATTGTGTAAAGATCGAGTGTTTATCCGAAAACCTTGAAATACTTCAGCAATAGCGTAAGGTTTTTTCGCGCAACATAATGCAATATAACTTAGATAATGTCACGCGCGCGCATTTCGCAGTTGCTAATTCATTGTTACGCTATTTTACGCAAATGACGCTCGAGACAAATGGAAAGTTTCCGAGTAACTTTCAAAAGTCTCAGGCATACTCGTGGGAGATACAATAAATTCGCTTAATCGCCGGTTGATGCGCATGTATTTCTTTAAGTTTTTTTTTCCTAGCATTCTCCCGTTCGCGTATTATTGTACGGCACAGCGCAGAAATACAAAGTCGTCGAAAAGCAATTTTCCCACGCATAGAGCGACGATCGAGCGTATAGGTTATGTTAATCTACAAAGTGCGGAACTATCTCCTCGCGGCCGTTACGTAGATCGGTCCCTTCGTTCAGCGAAACGTTCCACTTGCAACATCATCTAAAATTAATCGACTTTCCGCGTGGCGTGAGAACATTGCGGTGGCGAATCCGCGACGATATCGCCGCGAATTCAGGGATTTTTCCCGTCCACAGACCGTTCGTGCGCGCTACGGCCGCCATTTTGCTTTCCCCGCACGTCTGACATGTCTTTCTAATGTTATTATCGACGAATGTTGAAATTTGTGCGTGAAATCGCTTCGAGTTATTGTCCGAGGAGACCGACTCCGTCTCGAGAGGAAGGTTGCGCTGTGCCTGATCGGTGGGACGATTATTGTCTTTGTCGGCAGCGATTTCCATTGTTGTCCCAACCTTGGTCGGACCGACTGAAACACGGAGTTGATTTACAGGCAGTTACGCGGATAACGCGATTGCGACTAACTCGATTCGCTTCCGGGGACTAAATATGCCGCAAGACTTAACCAAGGTGCGCTTCCGGCTGCATCGCTGAAAATCTCATCACGGTATCCTTGCACGATGTCCTGTTGTCGATGTAACAAGCGAACCTAACCTATAAAACATCGTTGAAAACGACATCGTGTGTGCTTGTGTCAACAGTGGAGAGATCTCGCTCGATGATATGGCTCTGGCGCCGCTTCTGAGACCATTGAAACGCAGAAATCCGGCTGCAGTGCTCACCGTCCCGACGTCCACCCGACGCAGTTGCTCAAACATGTGTAGGGCATGTTTGGTGTAGACTACTATGCGAGGCAAGGATTGTTTTTATCCTGATCTAGCAATGGACTAAGTTCACGCTTATTGCTCGAACCGGGGAACTTGACATTCGCTGTCGTATGTACGCGATAAACACTTAGTTTGGCGCAGGCCTTGAGCTCATAACAATTTACAGCTTTAAGTGATATTGACGTATACAGAAAGAAGTATACATTGAAGTATTATCTGTACGTTGTAAGTGTAGATTAAGTTATGACGTTTCGTAAGCTCTGCTGGTCTGTAGAATGATAAATTTAGTTCAACTGCAAATTCCATGACTTGTTTAATTATACGTGTTTACATTTAGACGAAAACTGATTAGATACACAATGTATTGACATACTCAAGTATGACTGCTATTGCACTGGTATTACCTTTTAATTTATTGAATTTTGTACAGTGGCTTACGTGAACAATATTTGCAGTGTAAGCTTTGATTTTTTTTTACTTGGCAAAACGTAATAGCAAATATCTGTGATATGATACAATAAAACATAGATTTTTTTTTAATTTTTATACTCTCAGTATTATATTTTGGATCGATGGTGTAGTTTGTACTTGGATCTGGGCACATAGCGTGAACTAAGTTTTATCTAGATAGGAAGAAAGTTGATTTGGAAGGTTTGAGAATGCAGGTGGAACAGATCTGGACAGAAGGAGCAATCAATGAAGGTCCCTATTTCCGAAAACTCAAACATGGACAATAAATTGAAGTTTTCGGACCGCTTGAAGGCTCTGCTGAAAACCGAGGCTCACCAAGATGTTGATCCGTACATTTTTAGTGAACCGGAACCGTTTGGCACAGCAGCGGGAAGAAATACCATGGTGGTTCCACCTACAAATTCTAAAGTGATGCAAAGTTGTAAGAACAATAAGACAAAGGGGAAATGTTTGAAGCAAAGGATAAGAATGGCGCCTGTACCGGACGCGGGCTACAAGACTGTTGGAGTTAATGCGACAGCGGAAGCGAGCGTCGAACGGCGCGTCGGAGAGAACGTAGATCATAAATTTTCTAATGTAGTTCAGCATAAGCAGCGACATATTGAAAATTTTGCAGAGATTAAAGTCCAGGAGGCAAAGTCGGGACCACACGCTGCTGTATTATCCGAGAGCCGGGGATGAGATATCCGATAGCGATTCGAGCGGAGATGACATGACGATTTATCAGCACCATTGGTTCCCCGGCGAGTCTGTTACAACGCTAAACCGCGCTAATCGACTGTCCCAACTACGTTTGCAACTACAACGACAATTACTTCAATTACGCATCGACGAGAATGACGCTGAAGTTGTACTGCGTCACAGGGTCAGGTGTCTGTTGGAGGCCGCCTCCAAAGATCCCGCTTCTACCGCGAGGGCTCTGAGCGATTCGCCGGGCGCCAACAAGGTGCTCGACGGACCGCTGTTGGTCGGCGGACTGTGCGGAGCGGAAGGATGCCGACAGACGTCTCTGCCTTGCACCCGGCACTGTTCTCGCCATATTATGTTAAACGGAGATCAGCTTTTATTCGAGCATTGCACTGCCAAGTTTAGTGACAACACACAGTGTTGTGTTCCTGTGTTTGATGTCGCACACGAATTACCTCTTTGTCCGGAGCACGCCAGGAAGAGGGACAATTATCACCGCAAAGCCCAAGAATCCAAACCAAAGAAAGCTCGTAAAAAGCCAACCTCCCCAACTATCCCGGTGAGGCCTAAACCCAAGTCCAAGCCGAAGAAGCGCAAACGGCCACCCTCGAACAAAGTGGAGACCAAGGGCGGCGCATTGATGCACGAGGAAAGTCATTACATGAGCCAAATAAACTGCAATGAAAATCATACCAAGACGTTAAACAATTTGAATATTCCGCAAGGAAGCTCAAATTCTGCGTCTACTTTAAATCTAGGATTGGGATTAGGCTCGCTTGGACTGGGCGGAGGGCTCAAAGTGGAGCTTGGGGATAATGAAGTGTTCGGTCCTTTGGATTCTGCTGAGCACGACTTTGGCAACGTGCTCAACAATTTACCCCCGGATGCTTTTAACGACTTGTTTATCGGTAATTGTAATATCTTTATTCTTTGTACATTTTGCACCGTGATACGTCTTGTGTGTTTCGTAAATTTTTACATTAAAAAAAAATTTATTGTATCTATCGCTCGAAAGTAAGTAGACGCGTGTTTTAATTCGCAGAGGGTAGAAATGGAGATTACGAACCGTCGAGAGAAGAGGAAGAGGAATTGCAACGGGCTCTGGAAGAGGTTGACAAAGATGTACGAAATTTGGAGAGGATGCAATCGAACGGACTTTTAGAGCCGGCATTGCTCGCCCAGCTCATGTCGGACATTGCTTCGTAGCCCCACCAATCTTAATGTAACAATTTTGGGAATGAGTTCGCGTGTGTTCCTTGTAACGTAGAAAGAAGTACTGTCTGTGTCCACGCTGCTAAACGTAAGATTGCGTTATAGACTGTTATTACGTAGCCACGCAAGTCCGAGATAATGGCAGGGATTGACATACAGAAAGTAACGAAAACGAAAAAAAAAAAAGAAAAAAACAATAGTGAACTTATGAATTTAATATTAAACAGCATTGGGTATAAATACCATGGGTAGATTTATGTCGAACGAGTAGCAATGTAAAAAAAAAAAACTGAGAATTCCATCCTTTTTGACAAATAATCACGGACACTTTTGCGTCATCGTCATAATACTTGCAATATATTTGTAGTTTATTTGCAGATACTTTGCACTTGGAAAAATTTGCTTAGAAAAATTGTTGTAGTTGTAATATGTTAATGCAATCACATTTTTCGAGAGTGGGGAATGTACGATGGGAAGACGAGGAAGCGGACAATGTCACGTAACTGGCTCAGACTTAGGTTCCGACACACACGAGTTAAACAAGGTACATAGTTTTCATTTTTATATATGGCTTGTTTTTACTAAAACGAAAGAGCAGGAATTATATCTAAATTACACTACTAATAGCTCCCACATATTTATTGACTACACATAATATCTAGCTAATTACTGATTATTGAAATAATAGGTACAAAGATATTTTTATGACTGATTTGTAATGATTTTATCTGTTATCGATTAATGATAATACCAATTGTGAGAAGAAGAAATTCTGGTTTACGAAAATCAGAGCTAGAATCAATTGAGGCGCAGAATAATTTAGACTTGAAAAACATAATATTTGGAAAAAAAATATTTGGGGTGTTCGTATGTAACTTTGTATATATATCATTCTCATTATTAGGGCAAATTGTCATAGCGAAATTGTTCATTAATTTGCAAAGTAAAAAAAAAACAATTAAAAATTATATTATTTTCTTAATGGCAATTACATTTGCAGTTAGAAAACATTTAATCTAGAAACACTTTGTGCAGTATCATCCTTTGAAAATACTATCCGAATTTTATTTAAATAAAATACATTTTTCCACAATTTAATTTTCATTGTGAAACCTTGTGCATAGAATATATTTATACAAACACGTGACTGAATTTATAAAAAGGAAAACATGCATATGTCTACATAAATATATATATAACATATGTGTATAGATATAATCACGGGTTTTTTTTTTTATTATCCGAACTCCGCAATAACATATTTACGAATAATCACATTTATGAGATATGATTATCGAATAAATCATATTATATTAACGATACGTGCATAATACTATCAATTTGTCCATTCTGTATTATATTCATGTAGACAAATGTTCACAGCGACGAGTAGTTGTAATATTTAAATTAAATGAGATACTTAGTAAAAAGTGCCGAAGGAAAACTTTCATTTTTTTCAACATTGTTACTGAATGTGCAATATGCTTCGCAGCCTTAATAAAAAGATGACACGCTAGATACTGATTAAGTAAGGAAAATATCGTTATCGCGTTATATTTGAAAAAAAAAGAGTACTTCTTCAATCATTCCGGGGGAGAAGATTTTTTTACGAGGCACAGATTCTGAAAGTAAAACTAGATCGATGTTGTCGCGAGAATAGCTGAATCGCTTACTGCCATAACTTTTAAAGTAATCGCATTTGCGTAGCAACACGTGTTATTAACTCCCGTATATAATAATAGTGATGTAACGGACGAAACGAGCGGTGTATAATATGGATCGTCGATAATTTTAATACATATCGTGATGAAAATGTGAAAGAAGACCGCGGGTAACTCTGTGTGTCGTGTATCGCGTAATAATTAGCCACCGATAAACAAGTCACACCCGCATGAGTATTTATTATACACGAATGTGTGCGTAGAATCACGAGAGAGATATTTTCGAAATCTAGTTTTTATTATCAAAATTGCTGTGCCAAAATGGTGACATACCTTCTTTCTTTCTTATGTTGCAGTAATGCGTGTCACTTGTTCAAGAAAAAAAACGGGTCGCAAAAAAGCAAAACGCACTTAAAGTAATGAATGTTTTAGCTGAATCCGAGTGATCACGAAAACGCAAATAATAAGATTATCACTTGTACATGAAAAGCAAAATAATTTGCAGGTCGACCCGTACAGGGGATTAAATTAATGCCGTGTATATATACGTATATATACATACACACACATGCAGGGTGTATCGCGCCTTATCTCTGCAGAATAAATTGACGAAATGAAGAAATTACATTTGTGCATTCAAGTTGGTGGTGGATTATTTGAACCTGTGATTCTAACTTTACCGTCTATCCGTTAGTTAATTAACGTTATGGTTTCTTAACTATATGTTACCAAAACAATTACAAACTTTTAATTGAGATAAAAATAATAATCCAAATAAATTTTGCGATTGTAACTCTTTAAAGAAGGCTCAAATGTGTAATTTCGTCATTCTTTATTTTCTGCTTGTTTTGACTTCAATTCATTCTCCAGAGATGGGCGTGACTTATGATACACCCTGTGTATACACACACGACACACACATACATATTGTTATTACGTATAATGGTAGTAAGTAGGTATAATAATTATTTATGGACGGGACAATGCCGAATTTAATCGTAAACATAAGTGCATTGCTTGAAATGTACCTATATGTGTATCTTCTTGTAAAATATCAGCATTATTACTCTTGATTAGGCATTACCAATTATAATAAGCATATTTTTTATATTGCGTTATAGTATTCAGTTTATGTCTATCCTTGTCATATTCGATCCTAACAGTAGTATCAGTTTATTGTTATTTCATGAAACAGTCGAAGATTTTTTTTATTTCCAATACGTTGTCTTTATAATTGAAAGATAATGCAACCAACGCATGTATATTTGTAACTATATTTTACATTCAAATTTATATTTCTTCAGTATTAATATAAATACTGTTTTAATTTCTTCTAAATTCTCTTGTTTTTTTTTTTACAAAAATTTTATTCTATTTTGATACTTAGTCTACAGCTGTCGCTATAGAATAATATCAAATGGTTTGCCATGACGTCGTTTCACTTCTCGAACGATCCATTTTCTTCGAGCTTCTTTGCGAACTTTGTCGTATCTCCCGGCTGGCACCTCGATTTCTTTCACTGGAAATTTTTCGACTAATTCGTATTCGGATTTGCGAGGGGACAATCCTCTTTCAATCCGTTCCTTGATATCCTAAAACATAGAAATTCGAATTTTTTTCCCCGTACAATTAAAATTTTTATTCATGTAAAAATGACACACCGAGATTTTGTCCGAAGGAATACTCTTTCGCAATTCCATTGCCTTTTTCTCAAACATGCTAATTTCTATCAATTCCGATTCTTCCGTCTCGCTCGGCTTCAACATTATATCATAATTCGAGCGATTGTGACCCAGTATGCCTACTCGAATCCCCAATTGAGATAGCTTGTCCTCCTCGATAAGAAGAGCGTTCTTTAGATAAGCGATTTTTGGATCGCGCGCGTCAATCTCTACTATTCCTTTACGTAGAAATGTAATAATATAATTATTTTTGCTACAGGTGTCCACTCTCGTGATGTAAATATATCATAATTTATCAATATCCCTGATGGAAATATTTTGCTGAAAGTACTACGAAATCAATGAAAAGTAAAATAAAAGTTTTTGAAAAATTACCGAATATATTTCAAAATAAATCATAATTTTCCGTATGAAAATTTAATGTGTGTAATACACTATGAAATATAAGGAAAGTTAAAATATACTGCTGAAAAGTAATAAGTTTTTAAATATTAGACATTATGAAATTTACATTATGAATTAAACTGAAAACTGTTACTTTTTAATGAAAAATTGCTAAAATATTTATGAAATTAATTAATGGGGTCAATTGAGAGAAATTTCCAAATACATTTCAGCAAAATTTCGTTATATTTTTAGAAAAATATTTCCGTGAGGGTAGACTAAGTATAATATAGCGGCATCGCACACCTAACGATAGAAGACGATAGTCGCAATCCGAATACATCAACTCGTGAGGCAACGGGGAGTTTCTGAGCAATTTACTCTTTAACGCCATTTTAGGGCCGTGCAGTATGCGGATATCATCCTCCAGCATATCCTGAATAATTTGACTGCTGCTTTGCCTCTGCGCGGTGTTGTACGCCTCGGTTCGGAGCAGCCTGTGCAATTCCAGTTCTGCGAAAGAAATCCGACGATGTTAAATCACTTTTCGACAATGTGTCGTGCGAAATATCATACATCGTACCGATGAGATTGTAATGCTTGCGCTGCAACGCTATCCACACGACTCGATGAGCCACGCTTGTCAAAGCCTCGAAGACCCTCAGGTCCTTCTCGCCCTGCGATTGCGTGACCGCCGACCGCTTCTCGCCGGTCATCATATGATGATACTGCGCCCCGCCCTGACAGCCCATTATTAAATCCACGTATTCTCTACCCAAGACACAGCGTAGGGTGCGCATCTCCTCGGCGTATCGGGTTCTGTGTCCGCGCGCCAACGGATTCGGCGCCTTCCTCATGGTGGCGGCCCGTTCCTGCATCAAGTCTTCCCATATCTCTACATAATGTTGGAAATAGAGGATCAGCGCCCTTAAGAATCGGTCAACGATCGGCAAGTGGAAGAAGTTTATGAATTGGGGACTGACGGGCGTTGTAAGCAGGAAGAGCACAAGGTCTTTGATGTCTTGCAGAATGACGACGTCCGGTTCGTGTGGTTTTACCTTTCTCAGGTAATATTTCCGAAATTTAATCTGCAAAAGCACAGTTTTTTCTCTCTCTCGATATTAATTAATCAGTAAAGATTGTAAACAGACTTCGGCCGGCTGTGCTGATCTTCACCTTTTCAATGTCATTCAGCATGTCCTGGTAACTCAAAATTAAATACGCATGTGGACAGTAAATTTCCGGTGTATGAGCAGCGGTAGGTTGTGCCTTCCGTCCTTTCGCCTGTTCATCTTCCGCTTTAGCCGTACTGATCGATTAATTAAAATTTACGTGAACGAAGGCTTACATTTTTTATTTCACATTAATCCGTGTTATCTTTTAAAAATATTTAAATTGTAAGTACAACGCATTAACGTGTAATAAAAGTACATTACTAAAATGGGTTATGCTGTTTTGCCACAAGTATCGTGGAAATTATACCGTATTCCAAGTATTGGGCTCAACATTTTATTAAAAGTTTAAAAGATTGAAGAAACACTATATACAGTATACAGAAAGTGATAAATATATGATATGTGTATAACATCATTTCTATTATGAGCTATTTAAAATATTACCTCAATAGAATTAATCCTTCTGTAATTTCATCCCATACAAAGTGTCTCTCGCCCATATCTGGATCTTACATCAAGAAAATACTCTGGAAACTTCCTTTATAATTTCATATTAGATTTCCAGGTTATCAATTTCTGAAAATTGACATGTTCTCCTCCTAATCTAGTACATAGTGAAGGCATAGCAGAGTCTAATTATTGATTCTAGGAAGATAGATATAGGTACATACATGCAAGTATGTATATTTTAAGCACACTATCGTGATTTAAAAATCGATGTGATAACTATAGATTTCTTTCTCTCTCTCTCGGACAATTTTCATTTAACGCATAAAAATGTTATACACAAAATTATTTAATATCACGGAGAAAAATCAAGATATATTTCTAAAAATAACTATTTAAATATATTTTTAAATATTATTTATTTATATTATAATACAATATGTAACATTTATATTCTATCTTTTTTCTTATCTACCCAAAAGGCAGGAAGGGAATCTAAAATTGGTTTGTTCTCGGGAAATATCGGCTCAGTCGGCAGCTTCCAAAACTCGTCGATGCAAATTTGTGCAGCCTTATCTGGTGTCCAATGATGCAGACAGCATCTCACCTTTACCTGCTCGCGATTGTTGATCGTGAGAGTCACGAAAAATTCCTTTCCTTCTATCTCTAAGTTTGGACCAGATATCGGTTTTTCTGGCATCGTTATAGTATCTTCCGACAGATAGATAGCAGCTTTGCGGAAACTTGTTCTAATATGCCATTTCTCCAATGTCCACGGCATGTCCTTTGACATCACAATTGATATTCGTTTTTGTGACAGATACTTTATTGTTCCTTCTACAGATGCAGAGCTAAATGGCATATTATCTCCTTGATCCACTAATTTTGAATATTTTTCTATGTTCTCGGGAGTAGCGTAATCTGCTAATTTTGGTAATAAAAGTGTAGAGTATGCTGGTTTTGGACGCATTGTTACCCTGGTGCCTGCACTACCGAGTCCTGCTACATATTGTGTCAAAATCAAATCAAGTGGCTCCTGTTTACTGGTATTTGTATCTTCAACAAGATCATAAATGTAATGTTTTGTTTTCAAATGTTTTGGTCTACAATTCTTTTTATGAAAAGAAGGTTGATGTCTTCTTTTCAAAATGAAGGTATTCTGTAAGAATATCATAAATATAATTTTAGTATAATTTATACATGAAAGAGTTAAATCTAAAAAAATTTGATAAAAATGGTTAGATTTATTATAATGTGTGCTAAATAGATTTACCCGTGTTTGTTGGGATAAACAATCCACTTTGTTCGGCAAAGTAGGCGTTGCCAATGTTTTTACGTGATTTACGAGTAATCTTGGAAATTTCAACATGTTTCTTTCCGTTTAAAACACTCCTAATAATTAGAATTTTTTAAATAATGCCTAAGAATCGAGACGACAAAAGAGGTTAATCAGATAGGTTAGTTTGTCATCGGCATAAGTGCGTTCCGTTCATTGAGTTCTATAACATACTGGAGCGAGCCTTTCAGGAGTGGGGATGTCTCCATCGGTCGAAAAAGACAGATAGATTACGTGAGGCTAGTCTTCCTTGTCAGTGTATGTTTTCAGCATAAGCAATAGAACGTAAAAAGAGACAGAAATCCTCACATTGCTATATGTGTCCTTTTCTAAATCGCGGACGCAGTTTTCTTTGTTCGGGATAGGAAGGCTCGCTCCAGTATGTTATAGAACTCAATGGTTTCGTTCGTTTTGTTTCATGCATGATACGCATGAAAGTGTTGAAAATCTATAGTTTATGTCACGTACACTATAGATTTTCAGCATTTTATGCGCATGAAATGGAACGCATTTTATGTCAAAATAACCATTTAGACAATGAACAATATTATTTTTTAAATAAAGCAATTGCACGTATTTCGCACCATTTCGCAAATCAAAAGTCAATTGTATTTATTGGTTTGTTCTTTATAGCTGAACTAGCTGCACTAGTTCAGAATTTATCTTTTTCCCTTCACATTGGAAGGAGAAAGATAAACTCTGAACTAGTGCAGCTAGTTCAGC